GTGAGAGATTGTGTATACAACACTATCAATGTATGACTATTAAAGCTGTGAGAGATTGTGTATACAACACTATCAATGTATGACACTTTAAGCTGTGAGAGATTGTGTATACAACACTATCAATGTATGACTAAGCTGTGAGAGATTGTGTATACAACACTATCAATGTATGACTAAGCTGTGAGAGATTGTGTATACAACACTATCAATGTATGACTATCAAAGCTGTGAGAGATTGTGTATACAACACTATCGATGTATGACTAAGCTGTGAGAGATTGTGTATACAACACTATCAATGTATGACTATTTAAGCTGTGAGAGATTGTGTATACAACACTATCAATGTATGACTAAGCTGTGAGAGATTGTGTATAAACCACTATCAATGTATGACTAAGCTGTGAGAGATTGTGTATAAACCACTATCAATGTATGACTATTTAAGCTGTGAGAAATTGTGTATACAACACTATCAATGTATGACTATTTAAGCTGTGAGAGATTGTGTATACAACACTATCAATGTATGACTATTTAAGCTGTGAGAGATTGTGTATACAACACTATCAATGTATGACTATTAAAGCTGTGAGAGATTGTGTATACAACACTATCAATGTATGACACTTTAAGCTGTGAGAGATTGTGTATACAACACTATCAATGTATGACACTTTAAGCTGTGAGAGATTGTGTATACAACACTATCAATGTATGACTATTTAAGCTGTGAGAGATTGTGTATACAACACTATCAATGTATGACTATTTAAGCTGTGAGAGATTGTGTATACAACACTATCAATGTATGACACTTTAAGCTGTGAGAGATTGTGTATACAACACTATCAATGTATGACACTTTAAGCTGTGAGAGATTGTGTATACAACACTATCAATGTATGACTATTTAAGCTGTGAGAGATTGTGTATAAACCACTATCAATGTATGACTAAGCTGTGAGAGATTGTGTATACAACACTATCAATGTATGACTAAGCTGTGAGAGATTGTGTATACAACACTATCAATGTATGACACTTTAAGCTGTGAGAGATTGTGTATACAACACTATCAATGTATGACTATTTAAGCTGTGAGAGATTGTGTATACAACACTATCAATGTATGACTATTTAAGCTGTGAGAGATTGTGTATACAACACTATCAATGTATGACTATTTAAGCTGTGAGAGATTGTGTATACAACACTATCAATGTATGACACTTTAAGCTGTGAGAGATTGTGTATACAACACTATCAATGTATGACACTTTAAGCTGTGAGAGATTGTGTATACAACACTATCAATGTATGACTAAGCTGTGAGAGATTGTGTATACAACACTATCAATGTATGACTATTTAAGCTGTGAGAGATTGTGTATACAACACTATCAATGTATGACTAAGCTGTGAGAGATTGTGTATACAACACTATCAATGTATGACTAAGCTGTGAGAGATTGTGTATACAACACTATCAATGTATGACTATTTAAGCTGTGAGAGATTGTGTATACAACACTATCAATGTATGACTAAGCTGTGAGAGATTGTGTATACAACACTATCAATGTATGACTAAGCTGTGAGAGATTGTGTATACAACACTATCAATGTATGACTATTTAAGCTGTGAGAGATTGTGTATACAACACTATCAATGTATGACTATTTAAGCTGTGAGAGATTGTGTATACAACACTATCAATGTATGACTATTTAAGCTGTGAGAGATTGTGTATACAACACTATCAATGTATGACTAAGCTGTGAGAGATTGTGTATACAACACTATCAATGTATGACTATTTAAGCTGTGAGAGATTGTGTATAAACCACTATCAATGTATGACACTTTAAGCTGTGAGAGATTGTGTATACAACACTATCAATGTATGACTATTTAAGCTGTGAGAGATTGTGTATACAACACTATCAATGTATGACTATTTAAGCTGTGAGAGATTGATTAATTGTGTGTAGGACACTGTAAATGTATGACTCTAAAATCTGTGTGATATCCAACTTTACCTGTTAGAAATGATACATGGCTGATCCTGACAATGCAGCCATGATAGAAGAGGTCTGTGTTTACACAAGATGACACTGCAACATATAACATACTGTGTGTATTCTACCAACATGCATGTACACATGTGACTGCTAGCCAAGTGATTCACTCTAGTCTCTACTGAGCTTGTAACTATTCTCACATGATATACCTCAGTCACCAGTACACTATAGCATTCAGAAACAAAGTGCAGCAAACCATCTGATTTACACTGTATACAGAATTATAATGCCCATGTAAATCAGAAATCTTTGTTATACAGTCACTAAATAGGGTCTGATTGTGTTGTCAATTAAAAATTCAATATTCCCTTTAATTGTGCTGTCAATTACAAATTCAATATTCCCTCTGATTGTACTGTCAATTACAAATTCAATATTCCCTTTAATTGTACTGTCAATTACAAATTCAATATTCCCTCTGATTGTACTGTCAATTACAAATTCAATATTCCCTCTGATTGTACTGTCAATTACAAATTCAATATTCCCTCTGATTGTACTGTCAATTACAAATTCAATATTCCCTCTGATTGTACTGTCAATTACAAATTCAATATTCCCTTTAATTGTACTGTCAATTACAAATTCAATATTACCTTTAATTGTGCTGTCAATTACAAATTCAATATTCCCTCTGATTGTACTGTCAATTACAAATTCAATATTCCCTCTGATTGTACTGTCAATTACAAATTCAATATTCCCTCTGATTGTACTGTCAATTACAAATTCAATATTCCCTCTGATTGTACTGTCAATTACAAATTCAATATTCCCTCTGATTTTACTGTCAATTACAAATTCAATATTACCTTTAATTGTGCTGTCAATTACAAATTCAATATTCCCTCTGATTGTACTGTCAATTACAAATTCAATATTCCCTCTGATTGTACTGTCAATTACAAATTCAATATTCCCTCTGATTGTACTGTCAATTACAAATTCAACATTCCCTCTGATTGTACTGTCAATTACAAATTCAACATTCCCTCTGATTGTACTGTCAATTACAAATTCAACATTCCCTCTGATTGTACTGTCAATTACAAATTCAATATTCCCTCTGATTGTACTGTCAATTACAAATTCAATATTCCCTCTGATTGTACTGTCAATTACAAATTCAATATTCCCTCTGATTGTACTGTCAATTACAAATTCAATATTCCCTCTGATTGTACTGTCAATTACAAATTCAATATTACCTCTGATTGTACTGTCAATTACAAATTCAATATTCCCTCTGATTGTACTGTCAATTACAAATTCAATATTCCCTCTGATTGTACTGTCAATTACAAATTCAATATTCCCTTTAATTGTACTGTCAATTACAAATTCAATATTCCCTCTGATTGTACTGTCAATTACAAATTCAATATTCCCTCTGATTGTACTGTCAATTACAAATTCAATATTCCCTTTAATTGTACTGTCAATTACAAATTCAATATTCCCTCTGATTGTACTGTCAATTACAAATTCAATATTCCCTCTGATTGTACTGTCAATTACAAATTCAATATTCCCTTTAATTGTACTGTCAATTACAAATTCAATATTCCCTTTAATTGTACTGTCAATTACAAATTCAATATTCCCTCTGATTGTACTGTCAATTACAAATTCAATATTCCCTTTAATTGTACTGTCAATTACAAATTCAATATTCCCTCTGATTGTACTGTCAATTACAAATTCAATATTCCCTCTGATTGTACTGTCAATTACAAATTCAATATTCCCTCTGATTGTACTGTCAATTACAAATTCAATATTCCCTCTGATTGTACTGTCAATTACAAATTCAATATTCCCTCTGATTGTACTGTCAATTACAAATTCAATATTCCCTCTGATTGTACTGTCAATTACAAATTCAATATTCCCTCTGATTGTACTGTCAATTACAAATTCAATATTCCCTCTGATTGTACTGTCAATTACAAATTCAATATTCCCTCTGATTGTACTGTCAATTACAAATTCAATATTCCCTCTGATTTTACTGTGAATTACTAAGCAGGCCTCTAGGTGCAGGGAGTGACGACTAGCTACCAGAACTCTAGCTTTCCAATGCCACTGAATACTGCGGGTGTTATTGCCTTATCTTACTGTAGTCATTTATCAATAAGCCCATGATCAAAAGGAAAAAAAAGGCCAATAGGTGACCATTTTGGATTTGACAATTAAAGATAATTATCACGAGTTCTTAAGAGGAACTTTTAAATTTTGTATAATAAAGAACAAAAACAAAGAAAGAAGACGGAAAAAGTTAAAACTTTTAAAGACTAGTTATAGATCAAACAGTGGTGGTATCCAAGATTGGAGAGGGATCTCATGTCATTGTCTTGCTGTAAGCCTACCTCACCCCAATTCACTCCACCAACTAATCTGAATCAGAGGTTGTGTTGGCCCCATGGGCTGATGTCACAGGACAAATACTCTGTGTATATGGTTGTGTTGTTCGATCCTAATCTGCCAGGGTAGTTAGGGGTTTTTGGCAGGGACTTCAAGAAATTTATGATTTAATTGTCCCTTAAATTGTGTAAATTCTAATAAAATATAAACAAACTTGGTGTCAGTTTAGAAGTCTTTTACTTTTACAATAAATCTCCTGTAGCTGGTTACTCTTACCAGTTTCACTATTGTTTACTAGAATTTATACACAATCCATCACAAATGTTTCATAATTCATGATGTCTTTGGTTTGTGTAGACTTTAAAACCTGAGGTAATGTTTGTCTTGTGGTCTTTTTGCACGATAAACAGTGTAATGCATACTTAAACACCAAGAAATGCTAGGCAAATCTATAGTAATTGTTTTTGTTTTTTTTTCTTCTTTTTCTTTGCATTTTCTCCTTTTCTATTTTTTCTCCTCTAAATCCTCCTTGTCATCGTTATTCTGCCAGTATGCTATCAGCTGGGGCCCAGCTGGAAGAGAAGCTTGTGTGAGTAGGCCTTACATGCACACATAACCAGATAAGGAAATGGTTATCATTTCTCATGCATATAAATCATGAGCTACTGTGTATATTCTCTACACATCACTTTCCAAACTCTAAATCTTCAGCCGGTTTTTACAATTTTCACCTCTTAGTTTTCCAATTTGCTTACAAAAGATCTTTTTAGAATATTTGCAGCCGTGTCCTCGTTAAAGTAGCATTTTCACAGAGGGATTTTTTGTTTTTATGATGCAGAAACCAAATAATTCAACAAAAAGGTGTAGATGATCATTTACGTAAGCTTTCAGAATTTTTACAATAATATCTCTAACGAGATTTCAGACTTGCCATGGGTTTCTGTTTTTACAAAATAAATCAACAAATTTAGTTTAGAGGTGGAGTGGATGTAGACGGGAGAATTGGTGGGTTAATAACCAAGCATAATCGATAAGTACTGACTCCAGGAGTGATAACAATTGAGTATTATTACAAAATTTTCTACACTGATTACAGCGAAGTGTAAGTCTCACCTAGTCATTACAGTCATGTTTTATAAGTATACATACAACGCCCCAAAGAATGATGACAGTGAAATGTTCTACACAATTGTAAAGTGTGATTACAGTGGAATGTATTTAGTACACATACCCACACAGTGATTGCAGGCATGCATTGTTAGTATACAGACCCATAGTGTGATTTAAGATGAACATGGTTAGTTCACTGTCCTACAGAGTGATTACAGTCAGTCATTGTCATTACACAGTCCTTTAAAATGAGTACAGCTGAATGTAAGTAGTACAAGATCCTAAACAGTGGTAAGAACCATGTGTTATTAGTGCACAGTTTCCTAGAGTGATTACAGCTGAGTGTTGTTGATAACCAAGCTCCAGGAGTGAATACAGTTGAATATGGATAGTATATGATCCCACAGAGTGATTACAGTCTTGTGTAGTTTGTAGACAATCCTACAAAGTGATTACAGCCAAGTGTGGGTAGTAAACAGCTCCACAGTTCTTACAGTTGATTTGTTTGTTCACTATCCCACACATTACAGCCTACAGCTTATACATGTTTCCAAATAGTGATTATAGTTGAGTGTTAATTCTTTGTATACAATCCCCTTGAGTGATTACAGCTGAATGCTGTACAACGGAGTTACGTTCATACACAGTCCCTCAAAATGATTACAGCAGTGTCTTGTTGTACACTGTCCCACAGAGTGATTACAGCCTGGAGCATGTGTATGCCTACATTGAACACAACCAGCCCAGCCTTACCTGTACAGGCTAGTGGTGGTGAGTGACCTTGTATTATTTGTGCTGTGTAAATAGCTTATGTAAAACTGTGTATTGTATGGCAAGACCAGCAATATACAGGTAACATTGGCTCACTGTGGCGGCCAGTTCTCAGTGTATTCAACCAGACCTGCAAGGAAACACCATGCGATTACACATGGATTTCTGGGGCTAGGGGCCTGTCCCTAACCCCTTGACATAAAACAGGGATTCCTGCACTGGATCCCTTGGGAATTATTTGACCATGTGACATGTGGTTATGATGTGTGCATGTCATGTACAGGTAAACTGGAGCTGGCCATGTTTATGTCCTGATGGACACCATAACCTCTGTACAGGCCGCGGCCATGTGTTCGTGTTACACTGGAATATGTCTGTGTGGAACACGGAGGATTTAGACTACATACTGTACGTGTGGCAACACTGTGATTCTTAGATACACAAGTCACTGACCCATAATTTTATATACTTAGTGGATTGTGTTAATAATGCAACCATCTTGTTGTGGATTTTAAATCGTAAATCAGCAATATGTGGTAAGTTTTAGAGGTATATACCAGTAGTAGTGCTGGTAGGGGCTGGCAGTTGTGTGTGCTGGCTCTGGCTTTATAACAAGTAGGCAACGATGGATTTGTGTTCCTGTATAACTGGTTGTGTTTTCAGACTTAGTACTGGGTATGGATATGTTAACAGAACTTTGAGTGTTAAATGTACCATTCATTGATCAGTATAAAATTCTATAACTGCTAAACAACTAGTGTGTTTATGTAATGTTGTATAAAATATCTTGTATTTGCATGTAGAGATGTAAACAAATGAACAGTGTGTTTACTAAACAGTATAAACAGTGTGTACATATGTACACGTGATGGGGTACCACAAAGAGGTGTATTTATCGTCAGATTTCGATATTGTATCTAAAATGTGAGATTATTGAACTTTTACAGCTGTTGTGAAATCACAAATTTACAGCTTTACACTACATGTGTAGAACATCTGTATAGGAATTGTAAAAAGACAGTGGCCCCTAAGAACTGTATAGTACAACAAAGACAGTAGCCCCTTAACATTGTATGACATCGCATTGACACTGGCCCCTTCAAATTGTATGACATCACCTAGAAACTGGCCCCTTATAGTTGTATAACACTACATAAAATTGGCCCCGTATAGCTGTATAACATTACCTAGAAACTGGCCCCGTATAGCTGTATAACATTACATTGACACTGGCCCCTTATAGCTGTATAACATTACATGGAAACTAGCCTCTTATAGCTGTATAATATTACATGGAAACTAGCCCCTTATAGCTGTATAACATTACATTGACACTGGCCCCTTATAGCTGTATAACATTACATAGAAACTGGCCCCTTATAGCTGTATAATATTACATGAAAACTAGCCCCTTGTATCTGTATGATATTACATAGAAACTAGCCCCTTATAGCTGTATAACATTACATAGAAACTGGCCCCTTATAGCTGTATAACATTACATAGAAACTGGCCCCTTATAGCTGTATAACATTACATTGACACTGGCCCCTTATAGCTGTATAACATTATATTGACACTGGCCCCTTATAGCTGTATAACATTACATAGAAACTGGCCCCTTATAGCTGTATAACATTACATTGACACTGGCCCCTTATAGCTGTATAACATTATATTGACACTGGCCCCTTATAGCTGTATAACATTACATAGAAACTGGCCCCTTATAGCTGTATAACATTATATTGACACTGGCCCCTTGTAGCTGTATAACATTACATAGAAACTGGCCCCTTATAGCTGTATAACATTACATTGACACTGGCCCCTTATAGCTGTATAACATTATATTGACACTGGCCCCTTAGAGCTGTATAACATTATATTGACACTGGCCCCTTATAGCTGTATAACATTACATAGAAACTGGCCCCTTATAGCTGTATAACATTATATTGACACTGGCCCCTTATAGCTGTATAACATTACATAGAAACTGGCCCCTTATAGCTGTATAACATTATATTGACACTGGCCCCTTATAGCTGTATAACATTACATAGAAACTGGCCCCTTATAGCTGTATAACATTACATTGACACTGGCCCCTTATAGCTGTATAACATTACATAGAAACTGGCCCCTTATAGCTGTATAACATTACATTGACACTGGCCCCTTATAGCTGTATAACATTATATTGACACTTACATAGAAACTGCCCCTTATAGCTGTATAACATTACATAGAAACTGACACTGCCCCTTATAGCTGTATAACATTACATTGACACTGGCCCCTTATAGCTGTATAACATTATATTGACACTGGCCCCTTATAGCTGTATAACATTACATTGACACTGGCCCCTTATAGCTGTATAACATTACATAGAAACTGGCCCCTTATAGCTGTATAACATTACATTGACACTGGCCCCTTATAGCTGTATAACATTATATTGACACTGGCCCCTTATAGCTGTATAACATTACATAGAAACTGGCCCCTTGTAGCTGTATAACATTACATTGACACTGGCCCCTTATAGCTGTATAACATTATATTGACACTGGCCCCTTATAGCTGTATAACATTACATAGAAACTGGCCCCTTATAGCTGTATAACATTACATTGACACTGGCCCCTTATAGCTGTATAACATTATATTGACACTGGCCCCTTATAGCTGTATAACATTACATAGAAACTGGCCCCTTATAGCTGTATAACATTATATTGACACTGGCCCCTTGTAGCTGTATAACATTACATAGAAACTGGCCCCTTATAGCTGTATAACATTATATTGACACTGGCCCCTTATAGCTGTATAACATTATATTGACACTGGCCCCTTGTAGCTGTATAACATTACATAGAAACTGGCCCCTTATAGCTGTATAACATTATATTGACACTGGCCCCTTATAGCTGTATAACATTACATAGAAACTGGCCCCTTATAGCTGTATAACATTATATTGACACTGGCCCCTTATAGCTGTATAACATTATATTGACACTGGCCCCTTATAGCTGTATAACATTACATAGAAACTGGCCCCTTATAGCTGTATAACATTATATTGACACTGGCCCCTTATAGCTGTATAACATTATATTGACACTGGCCCCTTGTAGCTGTATAACATTACATAGAAACTGGCCCCTTATAGCTGTATAACATTATATTGACACTGGCCCCTTATAGCTGTATAACATTACATAGAAACTGGCCCCTTATAGCTGTATAACATTATATTGACACTGGCCCCTTATAGCTGTATAACATTACTTTGACACAGGTAGCTTGAAAGAGGTTAATGAGTGTATGTATTAATGTACCAATGCTTTGTATTAGATAGGGATTTGAAATTATTGTTAACATTCCTGGACAAACTCAAAAACCATTTTCATCTTTATTGGTTCATGTTTTATAAGTTGTGTATGTGTAGGTTAGGATGAAATGCTATTAATAGTAACAATACTCTAAGCTTGGTATTATTTACAGGTAAAACACAGCCTTGAATTTGACACCTGTACATTCAACATAGTACACAGCTTAGCCTTGAGATTTAAAAAAAAAAACAGAACTTGATGGGACTTGTTCTCCATAGTCTACCTAACCGTTCTCCTTATTCTACCTGATGGTGTATGTCAATGCATTGAGTCCTTCACAAATTCAATACACCTTTAATAGCTAGGCTTTAATCAAAACATGGCAAGCTGTTCTCATACAGCTCATTACAATCTGGAGTACATTTACTCATTAATATTAATTACATAGAGAATGTTTTGTTTAATAAATACTCTCAAAAGCAAGCCTTTATTCAAATATTAATAGCATTACAAGTGTTTCCTAGACTCAGATCTGCTTTTCAAGAATCTCTATGACACAGACCAGTTTGTTGACTGTATAAGTCTGTAGCATGAGACACTTGACTAAGCAAAGTGACGGACAAGACACTAGACAGTATGAAGAGATGGACAAGACACTTCAGAGTATAAGTGACGGATAAAACTTGACATTATAAGGTGACAGACAAGACACTTGCCAGTATAATGTCACTTTCACGACACTTGGAAGTATTAGGTGGCAGAACAGACAAGACACTTGACAGTATAAGGTGACAGACAAGACATCTGACAGTATAAAGCTACAGACAAGACACATGACAATATAAGGTGACAGACAAGATGCTTGGCAGTGGAAAGGGACAGACAACACTTGTGACAGTATAATGTAACAGATATGCCATTTGACAGTATAGGTGACAGACAAGACATGTGACAGTATAAAGTTACATAAAAGACACATGACAGTATAGAAATATAGACAAAACACTTGACAGGTGTAAGGTGACAGACAAGACACTTGACCATGTAATTGGTCACAGACAAGACACGTGATGGTTTAAGGTGATGGACAAGACATTTGACGGCATGAAAGGAGAGACAAAGACACTTCAAGATATAAAGTGATTGACAAGAAAGACAACATAGCATGGCTGTATTAGTTATAAATGAATTAGAACATAAGAGCAATTAAAATTGACTGAAAGGACTCATAAATCAGACCATCATGATCATGTTACAATCGATCATGATAGTTTTTCTTTTATATAAGTACAGCTTAACATGATGTCAGCAAAATCCACGCTGCGTATCCGATTCAATAATACCAATCCCAATAATACCAGTTTATTCATCACCAGATGTTACCCTAACAACTAGCAGAACAGCCAGCCTTGAAAACCATGTGATCTGTCACTGTGTGTTGATTTCTTTGGGTGTTGGTTGAAGGCCCTTAGAAACACTAAAACCTGTGAAATATTTATTCCTTATAAGAGTTTTAGCTGTGGTAGAGATAGGAGAACAAAATATCTCTGTTCCTTTGCTTGTCTGGTACACTCTGGCGAAGTAGAAGGTTTATGTAAGTAAAATGTCAGTGTTATCTGCCGACGTTTAAGTCTACCTGGTGAATCTTATAGATTATATATATATATCTGTCTATTGTAGGTATATCATTAGTATATCTGTATATACAGGTATTCAAATATATAGGTATTATAGTGAAAGGTTTTGATGACCTTGTGTTTTTACCTGTAAACTGACACCTGAAGTACAATGATTAATTACCATATTTATCAACAGTAAGTCCATGCCTGGTAATAAACCCACTTCAAATCAATAACAGTTCCAGAATGAGACAAGCTTGCTAACTTAGGGTCAGAGGTCATGTTTTGCTCTCCTGGGCTTTTAGCATGATAAATACGGTAATTAAGGTAGTGTAAATTATGGTATACACCTGGGTTTATTGCAGACATACCAATATTTCTTTCAATCAGTATAGGAAACACCTATGTCTGTTTACTTGTTTATTTCGCCCCAGATTATTTCCCCTTTGTACCATATTATACATAAATTTGCCCCATGTTTATTTTGCCTCCTGAAAATTATAAAAAAATGATTACAAAAGTGTAACAAATGTTTGCTGTCACTTTAAATCCATGTTCATGGATAAAAAAAGCAAGTTTTAAACAGGGGCAAAACTTTCTCAACATACAGAATGATATTTGACCAAATTTAAGCTAACTTGCCCTATAAGTGTTTTTATTTCTGGGAGAAAAAAGGTTGGCTAATTCATTAATCTACCCGACCACCCAGTCTGTTATCACCTCTCTTATGCACCTCCATTTTGGTTGTCAGAAGATGCCTAACAGCATAAAAAAATTATATCCTTAAAAATTTTGAATGGAAACAGTCACGAAATTCAAATAAAAAGTACTAAACATTTTAATATCGTGTTATAAGCTGAGGATGTCTAACCAGTATACACTAGTATATAATAGAAATCTTTCTTACTTTATATTTAGAGAGAAATAGAATATTTAAAAAGTCATTCGTGAAATGACAAGTTTAACATCTATTTTGAAATATGGATATATCAAAAATTGAATTGCAAGGCAAATATCATGATATATTGAATCGCAATAAACTTTTTCACACCTAATTAATGGTATATCCCGATCATGGACAATTACAGGTGTACATGTTTCTGACAGGTGTGCTTGTGTACTCTAAAACAATTACAGGAATGTTTTCCAATTTATTCCTAACTATATTGTAGGTACATAAATACAAACCTTTGTAACATCGGTACCTTTATTGTGTAAAACATCCACTATTGTTTATACGAGATTGTCCTTGTATTCCAGAAATGTTATTGTTAATTTGCTGTGAAAGGACATATCGCTCTGATGAATGAGAACGGTATTCCTTTATGAATAATGTATGGTAGTACTGGCGTCCATAGAAGTCACTCATCCGATGTGTTTTCAGATATATGTTTTGGTTTTGGTTGTAAAATGAGGATATTGTGAAATTCGTAATCGTTCAGTTTTTCACTTTTCTTACCAGGATGGAATTGATTCACAAAAATCAGATGCCTTGAAAACAAATATGTAAAGAAACCATAGTCAATTGCATGAATTCCTGGATAAAAACATGGTTTTTTTCATAAAATTGTGGAAATTTGAAATGAGACAAGAAATGTTTATTGAATAGCAATCAGGATACACTATTTGTTGATAGCATCATATAAACATTATTTATTCATTTTACAACAATTTGCAAAACAAGATTTCAGCTTATTTTAATCACTTTTGTTGTCCCAGATGGAACGGGGGGGGGGGTGGGTCTTACATTGGGAGGAAAACAGAGTACCCGGGGGATTTTTATTGCAAGAGGTATAAACTGGACAGTCATGTTAGATAACCAATGGGATAGTAGATGTGGGTTCAAATCTCAAAGTTATGGGTGGTCTTTGTCACTGCTGTCAGCAATGTCTGGGCTTATTTAGTTGTGTAAATATTGTTTAGTAACCCTTTATAAAACCATTATGTCTTTTTAGAATGATTAAGATGTTGTTTAACCTAGAATATTAGCCATGATAAAATCACCGACTTCAAATTAACTGTATACAGAAGTCTTTGAAAATGAAATACAAAAGAGAGGCCATGTAAAGGTTGTTTCAGTCCCTAATTGACACATGATTAGTAACGTAGTCAATCTGTTACACTAATTACAAATGTACTTATGAAAATTCCTACATAAAACATGTGTGCTCTTTCTTTATCTTGAAAAGTTTTCTCTTCAAAAATGAAAAACACAAACATTTTACAAAATTTTGAAAGAAGGAGAGAAATCATAAGTTAAACATTTAGTTGAAGGACAATTAAGACGAATTTTTTTTTTTTTACTTTACAGACAGAAACGCCTAAATGAAAGGCGGCGTAGGGACCAGGAGAACGCGTACTTTGAGGAGCTTGCAGAGTTAATTTCAGCAAGGATCACGGACATGAACTCCTTCTCAGTGAAACCGGAGAAGTGTGCAATACTACAGGAGAGTCTGAACCAAATCAAACAGATCAAACACGGTCAGTAAATTAGGCAGATTCTTGTCCAAACTCTTGTCCAAATTAGACTGGGTCAGTGATTAAAGTCTGTCAGTTTAGGCAGGTTCTTGTCCAAATTAGACTGGGTCAGTGATTAAAGTCTGTCAGTTTAGGCAGGTTCTTGTCCAAACTCTTGTCCAAATTAGACTGGGTCAGTGATTAAAGTCTGTCAGTTTAGGCAGGTTCTTGTCCAAACTCTTGTCCAAATTAGACTGGGTCAGTGATTAAAGTCTGTCAGTTTAGGCAGGTTCTTGTCCAAATTAGACTGAGTCAGTGATTAAAGTCTGTCAGTTTAGGCAGGTTCTTGTCCAAACTCTTGTCCAAATTAGACTTGGTCAGTGATTAAAGTCTGTCAGTTTAGGCAGGTTCTTGTCCAAACTCTTGTCCAAATTAGACTGGGTCAGTGATTAAAGTCTTGTCAGTTTAGGCAGGTTCTTGTCCAAATTAGACTGGGTCAGTGATTAAAGTCTGTCAGTTTAGGCAGGTTCTTGTCCAAACTCTTGTCCAAATTAGACTGGGTCAGTCAAAGTCTGTCAGTTTAGGCAGGTTCTTGTCTTGTCCAAATTAGACTGGGTCAGTGATTAAAGTCTGTCAGTTTAGGCAGGTTCTTGTCCAAACTCTTGTCCAAATTAGACTTGGTCAGTAATTAAAGTCTGTCAGTTTAGGCAGGTTCTTGTCGAAACTCTTGTCCAAATTAGACTTGGTCAGTGATTAAAGTCTTGTCAGTTTAGGCAGGTTCTTGTCCAAACTCTTGTCCAAATTAGACTTGGTCAGTAATTAAAGTCTGTCAGTTTAGGCAGGTTCTTGCCCAAACTCTTGTCCAAATTAGACTGGGTCAGTGATTAAAGTCTGTCAGTATAGACAGGTTCTTGTCTAAACTGGTCAAACATGGCTGCAATAACCACAGTTGAGCTGTAGACAGGTTCTTGTTGGAATCAAATTGAGGTAGGTTAGTATGATCAATTTCTGCTTTGACAACGCGGAGAGTATAGACAGGCACCAGTCTGATTAAACAAGGCTATTTCACTGCATTCTGGTCACGATGGTATATTCAAACCTCAAACCTGAAAAGATAAAGGAAATCATAACACACATGTTCAGACAGTCGAGTCAGAACTTATGTTGATATCGTATTGGACAATTTAGATATATTTCTTGTCCGAATCAAACTTTTCACATAGGGTCAGTGTAAAAAGTCATGGTTGGTCAATTTAGTCAGGTTCTTGTCCAATTAAAATATTGTATTGATTTTTGTTATAGTGATTTCATTTCGGAGATTTGCTTTGGTGATTTGTTTTCGGAATTGTTTCCGGGGATTGTTTTTGAAAGATGTTTAAGGGATATTTCGGTCACCCGCGACAAAGTTTCATGGTAACCTATATGATATGATGTGGGTTTGCCCTGCATTGTCAATGTTTCAGTATACTTTTTACATTTTCAACTTCCTGAAAATGCCTGCACCAGTTTATATGCCTATATGGTCTGCACCCCCAGGGGCCTGAGGGGTGACCAAAAAGTAGTCAAAATTGTTTAAATTTCTCTTCTCAATACCCAAATATGGTAGAATCAAATACTCTTCATGGATGGTAGGGTCTTACAGACTGATTTATTAAAATAGTGAATTTCGAATTTCATTTTTTTTTGGTAATGGTTAAGACTTGATTAGAATTATTTAAGATGACAGTTGCACATATTGACCTTGGTTGACTCAGAGGGACTGATAGGTGGGCCAAAATTGGTCAGATTGACTGAAATTATAGAAATCTCCTCAGTACCAAAATATGATCGAATCAAATATTCTTCATAGTTGGAAAGGTCTAGAGGGACTAAACCTAAATTGAAAATTTCATGACCTCATGTTTCTCATGTGGAGGGGTAAAGTTTACAATATTTAACTAGGTTACCATTTGTCATGATGAAAGTTATACAAAAATGAAAAACAGTAAAATTCTCTGTTCACATAGCATCTCTTTTATATTAGTTTGAGAGTTGTAGCAGATGACCCTTTAGGCCTCTTGTCTTTGATGATTTGTTTTGAGAGTTTGTTATGGGGATTTAGTTGATACAGTGATGTGTATGAGTAGACATGACTGTTTATTAGGGGAAGGAATGTCTACATCTGGCAGTATAATTCACAAGGTCATCCAAATGACCTCCGGCCTGTCCATATGTCACTCATCACCACTCCATCATCTCTCATCTGTAAGAGTGCATTATGGGTACTTTTCACCACCACAGGCATGTACACAGGACTAAATATGTGCCTACAATGTTTGTTAAAAGTAGAGGAAGGGTTGAAGAAAACTCTTCCATTGGACAGAAGCATTCTATATAGCAACATTGTATGTTATTGTCGAAATTTTGTGTTTCTGTTATAACTTTCTCTATCAACAAATATATCTATAGTGACTGCCTCGATAGCAACAGTGTATATTTTCTACAGTAAATATGCTTCTGAAGCAACAGTGTATTTCTTAAGATAAAATTATCTCTATAGCAACAGTATCTCTATAACAAAAGTATCTCTTTGGCAAAAATATACTTCTCTAGTGCAACAATTCATTCCTGTATATCTCTGTATTGCTGTAACAACACGTTTCTATAGTTACACATTCTCTGTATTGATGTAACAGCATGGTTCTGTAGTTACACTTTCCCTCTGTAACTCTGTATTATAGTAAAGCATGTTTCTGTAGTTACACTTTCCCTCAGTAACTCTGTATTATAGTAAAGCATGGTTCTGTAGTTATTACACTTTCCCTCTGTAACTCTGTATTATAGTAAAGCATATTTCTGTAGTTACACTTTCCCTCTGTAACTCTGTATTATAGTAAAGCATGTTTCTGTAGTTACACTTTCCCTCTGTAACTCTGTATTATAGTAAAGCATGGTTCTGTAGTTATTACACTTTCCCTCTGTAACTCTGTATTATAGTAAAGCATATTTCTGTAGTTACACTTTCCCTCTGTAACTCTGTATTATAGTAAAGCATGTTTCTGTAGTTACACTTTCCCTCAGTAACTCTGTATTATAGTAAAGCATGTTTCTGTTTCTGTAGTTACACTTTCCCTCAGTAACTCTGTATTATAGTAAAGCATGTTTCTGTAGTTACACTTTCCCTCTGTAACTCTGTATTATAGTAAAGCATGTTTCTGTAGTTACACTTTCCCTCAGTAACTCTGTATTATAGTAAAGCATGTTTCTGTAGTTACACTTTCCCTCAGTAACTCTGTATTATAGTAAAGCATGTTTCTGTAGTTACACTTTCCCTCAGTAACTCTGTATTATAGTAAAGCATGTTTCTGTAGTTACACTTTCCCTCAGTAACTCTGTATTATAGTAAAGCATGTTTCTGTAGTTACACTTTCCCTCTGTAACTCTGTATTATAGTAAAGCATGTTTCTGTAGTTACACTTTCCCTCTGTAACTCTGTATTATAGTAAAGCATGTTTCTGTAGTTACACTTTCCCTCAGTAACTCTGTATTATAGTAAAGCATGTTTCTGTAGTTACACTTTCCCTCAGTAACTCTGTATTATAGTAAAGCATGTTTCTGTAGTTACACTTTCCCTCAGTAACTCTGTATTATAGTAAAGCATGGTTCTGTAGTTACACTTTCCCTCAGTAACTCTGTATTATAGTAAAGCATATTTCTGTAGTTACACTTTCCCTCTGTAACTCTGTATTATAGTAAAGCATGTTTCTGTAGTTACACTTTCCCTCAGTAACTCTGTATTATAGTAAAGCATGGTTCTGTAGTTATTACACTTTCCCTCTGTAACTCTGTATTATAGTAAAGCATATTTCTGTAGTTACACTTTCCCTCTGTAACTCTGTATTATAGTAAAGCATGTTTCTGTAGTTACACTTTCCCTCAGTAACTCTGTATTATAGTAAAGCATGGTTCTGTAGTTATTACACTTTCCCTCTGTAACTCTGTATTATAGTAAAGCATGTTTCTGTAGTTACACTTTCCCTCTGTAACTCTGTATTATAGTAAAGCATGGTTCTATAGTTACACTTTCCCTCTGTAACTCTGTATTATAGTAAAGCATGTTTCTGTAGTTACACTTTCCCTCTGTAACTCTGTATTATAGTAAAGCATGGTTCTATAGTTACACTTTCCCTCTGTAACTCTGTATTATAGTAAAGCATGGTTCTGTAGTTATTACACTTTCCCTCTGTAACTCTGTATTATAGTAAAGCATGGTTCTGTAGTTACAGTTTCTGTAAATCTGTGCAGCAACATCTTGCCTCTATCTCTATATCATGGACACATTGTGCATCCATATTGTTCAGAATGAAAACCTTCACAGCACATAACTGACATTTATGCTTGTGTCGTCTGGCAGTACTGTTTTGAGTGCATGTAGTAAGATATAAATGTACAGTATGTAACAGCACTCATAAAAAACAGAGAAAATATGGAATGTTATACTGGATTCCATCATGTGTGCACACAATTTATACAGATGTGAATTTTTAGATATGGAAAAAGCCAATCATTACAACATTGGTTAAGTGTCGCTCTCTTCCCTTAAACAAAATACACTTGTCCGAATATTTAGTATGTTACAGCCTCTCTAGCCAAAACACTGTCTACTTCGAACTCTTTACACACCACTTCTTGAGGCTGTGTTATTAGTTGACAGATTCTCTAGAGACTGCCTAGTGATTTGGGTTTGGTTTGCTTAAAGTAAATGTGAGATTTTCACACAGTAGGTTGACAGATTGCCTGGGAGTGTTCCTCTCATTTATCTCGAAAAATTAGTCGAATTTTTTCAGAAGCTGTGTTGAAGATTAGAATAATTTCTAGAAACATGACAACTCATATTGAAGGGACATTGTTGCTGATTGGAGTGATTTCCCCAAACGCGACAATTCTCCAGGATCGCACACGACTTTGTCATCAAGATTTCACAACATAATAGAAGAAAACACGACAAGTCGTTTTGTACAACACGAGAGTAGGCCAGAGCTGGGGACTATTATATGACATGTACCATGTTGGAGACAAGCAGAGATCTGGAAAACACATTGGATAACTGGCCAAAGAAAGGTTGTAAAAAAATCAATATTGCTACTGTGATGGTTGGAAACACAAGGCTAGGCTCAGCTCTCACAGAGAGACCTGATAAGGTTTCCCTCATCCTACTACTCATATTCCCAGCCAAATCCTCTTGGATTGACTAGAATGACTGGTGTGTGTGGGCCTTCATGGAAGCCCACATGTACTTCAGCCACACATATGTGATGAATGAGGGAACCCATGCTATTTCCCTTGTAATATTTCACAAAGATTGCTTATCTTGACGAGATAGAAATGTTGTTTGTTGTATGAGAAGAACAACAATAGTTATAAACAAGACATATTCAATAATTATCATGTATTTTTCTGTTGTTGCATGTGACCTACCCCATCAACCCCACCCTCACCATCCCCAAAACAAGGTTTGATGACAGCAAGTTGAAGTTATGCATTGCTATGTCACCGGTCAATTAAAAGGTTTTGCATTGTAAAATTGAAGTTGAACATTGTATGTCACTGTTTCACAGTTTGATTATATAAAATTGAAGCCAAGCATTGTTATGTCACTTACACATTTTCACCAGGTAAAGTTGAAGCTGAACATTGCTGTGTAAGTCACTATTTTACAGCTTTTGTTACATAATGTTGAAGCCAAACATGGCTTTGTTATAGAGTTGTAACAAGTTATCGGGTATATATTACCTATCGTTGTCCCTCCTTGGTTCTAGCTTAGATCTGGTGTTACATCTTCAATTGTACAAATAACCGGAGAAAAAATACCAGTTTACGAATTTATGAAAAATCACAAGGGATCAGGAAAGATTAAGTCTGCTATAGGCACGAAATAGTATATATATTAGCGCCAGGGAAAGAGCAAATACGAACATCGCTAGAACACTAACATTCATCAGTGAGACCATACCCGGCTACGGGAGGAGTCACAGAGACGAAAAAACTGTCAACCAACCAACAAACCTCACATTTGATGCAGTGTTGTTCACTGCTGTAGTGCTCCCTCGTACTACCACAGCGTTATTTCGCCCACCCGTGGCACTTTCTGGCATCCATCCTTGCTTGCAAACTTCCGCCAATGTGCTCACCATTAGCATCTATTAGTTGAATGTCTCGTACTTCTGAATCTATATTTAGATCTCACCTGTATATGTGTCTGGTCCACTGTCCTGAGGAAGAGAGCTCGAGGCAACTGGTCAGTGGTGTATTTACATTTTAAAGAACCCACACAATACAACCTAAACCTATACAGATACAGACAAAATTATAGACAGCACCCGATTAATACAAACACAGGTGGACATTCATTACAGAGTTTGGCCGGATGTAGTTGACAGTGAAAATTAAACAAATGAAAACTGTTAAAATGCTGTTTGATAGATAGGGTCGCTGTAACAAACGGTTGTCATGATTCATTCTAGTGAAAGTCTGAGAATTCAGTCAGTCTGCCATACTGATCTGTGATTCTTAATAGCATCAGTATAACATGCTGAGTGTGTGGAATTACAACAAGTTTGTAAATAACTAACTTTTACATATTTGGACAATTTTTACGTAAATTTGACAGAAGTTGCATTAAAAAAAACTAATTACTAGACTCATATATAGTTTGAATGTGAGAATATGGCACAAGTCTGAGTTTCAGATGCTGTTTTATGCTGGAGTTCATCAAAACAAAATTATCAATCTCTGACCTGTTTTGTTAGTTCATTGGGCAAGATCTTTCTAGAAATAATGTAGGTGATATATATACCGAGTACAATGAGCTGATGGTGGATTCTTTCTCTGGCTGATTTTACCTGTGACCATGTTTTCAGTGGCGGCTGTGACCGAATTTTGAATAAAACTTGTGTTGACCTAATTTTGAGTGAAACTTGTGATGCTATTTACTTGACAGGCAAGCATAATACGGTTTTCACCTCATCTCTGGTTAACTTTATTCCGTAGGAGCTAGTGGGAAGCAGTGACCTTATTTTTAGAGCAAACTATGACCTAAATTTTAGAGGAAACTGTAACTTAATTTTGACCTAGATTGTTATGTAATTATTTGTCCTATTTCAGAAGCAGGATCAGAGGCAGTACAACAGAGTCAAGTGTCCTCCAGCAAGTCCACCGTTTTGGCAAACAATGTGATTGGGCCTCTTCTCTTGGAGGTATATTTTTTGGTTTATCAAATAAAAATATTTCCATAATTTACACTAAAAAATGAGTAATTAAGGAAAACAATTACACATCTGTATATTTCTTAATTTTGTTGTTTTGTATATTAACAGGCCCTTGATGGATTCCTGTTTGTTGTAAACAGTCAAGGAAAAGTTGAATTTGTGTCTGAAAATGTGTCCAGTTATCTTAAATACGTAGAGGTGAGTCGGGACATTTAATCCTAAAGAATGGGTTGTCATATCTAAATTGTATTTTGCATATATCTTCTCTTAATCTACAGGCATCATTTTGTGTAAATTAAGATGTTGTTGGAACAGAAGATAAAGGTGAGGGGCCTGGTGGTTAGGCATGAGAAAATCATTTTTACTTCAAAATTATATATTTTTATGGCAACCATGTTAGTTTGACAGTTTAAACGTCATTTTCACAAATACGTTAAAATTATTGTCAATGTTCTTCTTATGGAAAGAAGAATGAAGGGAAAAGATCTTACTTAAAAAAACAGTTGAAGGTGGGAGTCAAGATCGCAAGGGGATCTCTTATATAGAATCTGGTTTAGTGCTTGCTGTTGTAAAGAACTAAGACTTAATGAATAAGGGGAAACTTCTAGAAAATATTTCTTTGGTAGAAATGTTTCTAGGTAAATCTTTTTAGCTGGAATAAGCCATGGTGGCCAAGACATTTAATTTTGCTTATAAGAGGACAATGTTATAGTATTTGTTTGCATTTCTGCTAGAATTCAAATATATGGATGGGCTTATTACCATACATGGGCTTACGTATTATAGTATTCATTCTGCAATTTAGTTTAGTTTACCTTTAGTCTACGGAGTGGATTGTAACAGACAGGACCAATCATATTTATGAAGTTGTATAATTATTATTCGCAACCTTGGATGGTAGTAGGATGTAAAGCATCCCTTATCAAATTCTGTTCACATCCTTCGCTGTGTTGGTATACATCAAGATATTGTTAAGTCAGGTGTAGCTTACACGGTGTTAATGAAATTGACGTGCAACATAAACCTGTATTGCATAGAAAAGGCGGTGCTAATTTGGCAGGTGGAGCATCTGTGAAAATCTTGTGTGCCGAGAAAATAAGTCGGTGTCATAGGAGATTTTTCAGCTAACTTAAATACCAGTATAATAACTTCAAGAAGAAAATTTTCAGACATATTTTATAAATATGGAGAAAAAATGGAAATCAAATTTGAAATCTATTTTCATACCATATAGACACGTTTAACATAATATTTCAGGAAAATTATCTAATTTTATAAATATGTACATGAAATGGAAATCATTTAAAATCTAATTGCATACCATGTGTATATTTCCAAATTTAAAACCTATTTTCATACCATGTATACAAGTTTAAGAAAATATTTCTGGAAAAGCAAGTCAGCATTTTTCTGTCATCATTCTATTTACCTGATTTTTATGAAATCATTAAATTTGTTTTGTCTATTTTATCTTATTTTCATTGAAGGATGACCTAGTTGGAAAAAGTGTTTATAATATTATACATGTAGGGGATCATGCCAAATTTAGTAGCAGCCTTCTTCCTATGTCCTTGGGGAAAATTCTGCCAGTCTCATTAGGTAAGAACATTTGAAGACTTGATTATTTACTTAAGGAGATGTGTTACCCTAGTTTTTCTATCTTTTTGGAAACAAATTTGATTGTATATTTGAATTATGTAACTTTCTGAAAGTATTTTGAACTGTACAAGAACATTCAAAAGAAGAAAACACTCGGAAGTTTGCGGTATTTCTGATGATATTTAAGGGAGATAACTCTCACACAACATTTAGCACCATTTTGACATAATCATAGCACTCTCGGAGACTAATTTGCAGTTGACTAGTACAGTGAATTGTTCCAGAAGAAATAAGACACCACATATTTTAACCATTTTTCTTTCATGGCTATAAAATGAAAACACAAAGATACTGAAACTTCTGAGGGAAAAAAAGGGAGGTGGGATACAGGTGATAAAAGATGACAATAGTGAAATATGTCTGTAAAGTCAAATGTCTCAAAAATTGGTGTAAACTTAAATAATAGATGCTTTCATATGATTGGAAAATTAAATAAGAATTGCATTATTCTTGACAGCAAGTGTGATCCCTTGGTCAACGGAGGCCGTTGCGGCCAAAGGTCGAACTTTCAATTGTCGTATGCTGATTAAACCCCCAAGTAAGTACGAAGTATTGTGATATAAAGTTAAGTTTTGTTTTTAAGTTCAATCAGAGTTTTTAAGTAACTCTCGATTAACAAGTACATCAGGATCTAGAAAAATATGAAAAAATTTTGTATTATAGTCATTAAGATAATTCAGGCTATTGGAAAATCATTCACAGAATCAATTTTAAGTCAAATATTTGATTTACAACACACATAATTACTCATTCATTCATGTCCTCTTTGTTTTTTACCCCCATCAGGTGAAGAAAATGATGATGTCGAGGTTAAACAAACATATGTGTCTCAATATGAGAATATGCAAATTTCTGCCATATTGCAGCCCGGGGAAAAATTTTCCGATGCCTCGGAGAGCACAGGTACAGTATGGTTTATATCAGATTATGTATGATAACCATCTTTTTCTGACTCAAAGAAATCTGAAATTAATATTTTTTAACGCAATGCCTTAAGGAAACTGCTAAATAAGAACTCAACCTCAAACTCATTAGTCTGACTTTGTCTGTTTCAGAATAATACTATAGTTCAATAAAAACTGCGATATCAGAATCGCTGTATTCTGAAACCCTATCTAGCTTGTCCTGATATGTCACATTACACAGGTGTTCAGATTGGACAGATTTTCAGTGTTGTTAGTTATAGTGACATGTTAATAGTGTCGATGGTTTATCATTACAGAAGGCCAGTCTTGTCTAGTGTGTATCGCACGACGACTTTCATTAGCAGAGAAGACTAATACAATGCTGGGCATTGAACAATTTACTACGAAACAGGATTTAAACGGAAAAATTATAGCACATGATACAAGGTAATGTGTATTACATAATTTTCCCTTCTTCCTGAAGATGTTGTTTTTAGATCCTGTTAGTACCACAATTACTGTATTCAACCCAATAAGCACCCATATCCTTATAAGCATCCCCTCCCCCATCAGATACCTAAAAGTCTAGATTTACTTACCTTTTAGTCACAATCAAGAATTGTTTAAAGTTGGTTTATAAGGAGATGTACTCCAGAAAAACGTAAAAAAAATTTTTATATCTAAGATGGTTTTATCGCATGTAAAAAAAAAACTAGTGATTTTATAAATACATGAACCGCACAGTAGATTTTTTAGCACTGAATGTGTTTCTTTTACATCTAAGATGGTCTCTAATAAGAGCCCCCCCCCACCTTAATTGCAATTTTTTAAGCGCCCTAGGTACTCATTGGATCAAATACGGTACTTCTTCACAATCTTGATAATTACATGAAGCCTGGTATAGATTTAGCTTTATTTCGAGGTATTGTATCTTTGACAGATAAACAAAATCTTGTATCATTGTTTCAGTGGTATAGCACCAGGACACTACACCTGCCCGAACTTCATTGGACAGAACTTACAGGATTTTTGTCACCTCAATGATGTACAGATCCTATCAAAACACATACAGGAAGGTGAGTATAAACAGATCCCTTGTGTGTGCCTGAACCATGTCTCTTATTCTTACTTCTGTGGAAAAAAAGATTGAAAATATTTTGAAATGGTTTCGCAGCATTTATCTTTTTCAAAGTGTTTTATTTATTTGGATGATGAGGAGATATAGGGATCTGTCTGTATGTAATTGTTCAAACCCTAAATGTGTCCTCTTTCTTCCGTTTTCATTTATGAATTCTTTGCCTTTATTAAACTGGCTACAGTAAATCACTCAGAGTTCACAAATACTTAATTTCACGAGCTTGAATCTTCAGACGTATCTTTAAAAACATGATTTCACAAACGCTGATCTTGAATTTACTTTCATTTCACAAATGATGTGATATGAGCGATAAGGTCTCTTCAGGATACCAATATCAGTAACTGAATCTATATGGATGCCATTCAGTTATTTTTTTCATGAGTCGTTCAAATAATCACGAGGGATTTAAAGTTGTGGTTGACTCTTGCCAGGTATTAACGTGAAATCAATCTCGCACAACAAGATTTACAGTTGTTCGTAGAGTGAGGGGATTTGTTTTGTCTGCGATACGTTTATTTATTTATTTTATTTCATGTTACATTTATCTATTTATTTTAAATATTTTATGTTATACCATGAGATCAAATTATTCCTCTTAATAGTTTTGTTACACCGATGAATTTCATTTTAAAACATTTGCATTTTTTAGCAACCAAACTGACTTATATCTTCTCTTTTTCCGCAGTGCTGAAATCAAGAACCAACACAAGTAGTGTTTATCGCTTTAAACTAGAAGGCAGTCGTTATGTGTTTGTTCAGACTAAAAGCACGCTTTTCACCAATCAGAACAATGGTGACCCTGATTTTGTTATGTCGACTCACTCCATCATCCGTCAGTGTGATTCGGATAATGAACTAAAGGGATCGGCATCGTCCAGTCTTATGAAGTCTATCATTGGTCAGTCACCTCTGTTGACCGGCCAGCGAAATCCAAATAGCCCTGTGAATCCGAACTTGTCCATGATGTTGGGCACACTGAACCCCTCGTTTATGTCGCAGGGGATGGGCTCCAGTGGAGTTATTCCCCCTCAGGAAGAGGACAGTCTTGACCTATTTACGTCTACCAATAGTTGGGACACATTTGCATCTGAGATTTCTGGGATTAATTCCGCAGTGGGAAATAACGGCAATGGAAACTTTGTCATGTCGAGTGGAAACACGCGTACACCTGTGTCACCAAGTGTCAATATGAACTCATGGAACAATAACGTAGGATCAATGAAATCATCAGTCGTGGCACAACAGTTACAGCAGAGACCAAACATGGCGCCCCTCCCACAGCAGGTCTCGATGGCCGACAAACGACAGCTTCAAGCTGCTATGAACTTCCAGAGAAGTAACTCTTTTGAAACAGCGGGACAGAAAAGTCCCGGTTTCTCTCCAAGCTCAAATCAAAAGAATATGCCGTTTCCTATGCCAAATCAACGTAACATTGGCATGATGGGATATTCAAATCAACGTAGTCCTGGAAGTAGTTCAGGTTCTATGAATCGTATGTCTCCTGCAGGAAGTGGAAATATTGGAGTGCCATACCCACATCAGCGGACCCCACCAATATCGTCAGGACCACCTCCAGGTAGGTCAAAGTTCATTCATTAGTTCTAATATTTTATTGAGGATTAAAATATCTTTTGACCAGCTAGATCAACTATCATTTAAAAAAAATTCAGTATTTATGTTTTTTTTCATTAATAAGCCCAGAGGCCAACACATTACCTCTAACTCAAAGCTACAGGGGGACTTATCAATTATAGCAAATGAGAGACCATTTTTGGTGATTCTTTTAACAACAGATATAGGTGAGCTTTTTACTAGACTTATTATTACTTGTCACATTCTGCAGTAATCATTGCTGTTGTGTAGTTATTTGTTGGTCTAAACTTATTGTTGTCATTTGATTAACTAAATTTCATAACAGCTAGATTAGTATCACATGTTATTGAAGTCTAAACGGAGGTAAGATGGACTTTGAATTTCAGAAGTCTAAAATGAAGTTCATTTCTATTTATAGAAAATTGTCATACATTAACATATACTTACTTAGTGTAGGAACATTCATGTAGATATTTCCTTGTTAAATATATTCCTTTTGTCCAATAACAGCACAGTTGGACAGCTCATTTCTGTATACCCTCATCTAGCCAAACATTACCCTCTGTAAATTTGGATGTTATTGAAAAAATTAATTTATGAAGAAACTGATTATTCTGGATGTAGATAGCAGTAAATTCTGTAAAGGTTTGATAATAAATCTTGTAATGAGTGGTTTGTTGATCAACTGATTCCTAACCAAAAATTATCAGTACATGAAAGTGTTATCTGTGCTTAATTTTTTGTTAATATTAAAGTCCATGTATTGAGTAAATACCATTATTCAGTACAAAATCAAAGCCATTGTAACAATGATGTTGATGATGAAAAATGAATAATGTGTGATGACGATGAAGTGGCAATTATTTTTGCCTTTGAAAATGTTAAAAAAAAATTTTTTTTAAAAAAAAAGAAAAAACGAAAAATAGTTAATGGAAGAAAAATAAAAACTATATTTAACCATTATTAAAAAAAGAGTTCTCTCCCTTAGTAGATTTTGTGATAGGTAACAAAGAGAAAATTACAATTTTGCCTCATCATTATTGACTAGACATGTTCTGGTAAACCCGGATGAGTTACCTCCCTCTATTGAATGGAATCAGGAACCCAGTTACTTTTTTACAGTGAACAGTGTGCCTTTAAAAATCAAGCTGCTTTTCTGATCTATAAAGGATATTTCTATACATGTATTCTGAATACCTTATACCATGTAATTTTCAAGTTGCAAAATTTTCACTATTTCTTTTTGAAATGATTGAATAATATTTTAACAAATTCAAAATTTTTACAGTCTGGTTGTGAAAGGACATCTCATACACACGTCTCAATATTTCACAGACTAGATTTTCATTATCACTTTAATATACCTGAAAATAGTGAGAAGTGTCATCCTCACAAAAATTACTGGCTATATGGTACCGCCTTTAATTGTTAAATATATTATAACTTCATTCTGTCAATTTTGAATTATCTCCCTTTCTTTATTTTTACTGTCAGAATGTTGCCAGTTCTTTATTAATTGAAAGGTATATTGCACTTAGGCTTATGTGATGATTTGAGATATAAATATAACTGTAATAGTTCTAATTTGAACTTCTTTTCTTTTTCAGTTTCTGGCAATCAGGGCATCCAATCATGGGTGAGAATGCATCCTCCACAAGTCACTAACATTGGAGGTCTCACCTCCAGCCAATCAGCTACCCCCTTACAGGCACTTCAGTCCATGGACACACAACAATCAAATATGATTGGCTCAAACCATGTTAGCCCCTCACCTCGTCTATCGGGGAACGAATTCAATTTTCCTGGAACAGATAACCAAACATTGGAAAAGAGAGCTACCCCATCGAATACACGGTCGGGCAAACTATGTATGTTACTGACTCAAACGTCCTCGTGTTCAGACTATGATTTATTCAGTCGAAGTTCTTCAGTAGATAGTAATGCCTCTGGCATAAGGGACAATAAATTGTTAGACAGTTCTGTAGTTAAATCTCCCGCAGATAGTGTTATTCAGAGTCCACAGCCTGGACCTGGCCAAAGTCCACCCGACAAACCACAGAGTACAACACAGAACGATGAAGCTGACGGCAAATCAAAGTCGAAGACTGACCAGAGTAACTTCATCCTCAAACAGCTACTTAGTCAGGAGGATGACGGAGAACAGGACACAGAAAGCAAGCCTTCCAATGAGGCTGGGGCACAAGAAGGTGGGGAGATGGAGAAGAATGAGGCAGAGGCTAAAAAACCTACAAATGTTTTACTCAAAGTAAGTATGCTGTCAACATGATAGTGACAAGTTAGGTGAAGCATAATCTTTGGAATAAGGATCTAAGCTAAGAGGACCAACATGCAAATTCTGACTCAAGAGTTGGGGGATTGGCTTGTTGCCCAATAATAAAGAAACATTTGTTTGTAATTGTTTTGAACAGGAAATATATGTGACATAGGCCTTTTAGTACACAGGAAATGTTGACCAAATGAAAACCGAATCATGGCCTGGCAAGAAAAAAAAATATATTTATCCTATTATGGCTGTACAAATTTTACAAGAGTTTCATTCATGTCCCATAAAGTTCACTGGCTTTATTCCTAATGTTGGTCTAGTGGTGTTTTCACCCAAAGTTCTGTTCCGTATGCTAATTAACATCCTGTCAAATAAAACACTGACCATCATCCCATAAATAGAGTTTTGTTGAATAAATTGAGATTTTTTCATCAGATTTTAACCAAATATGATATATTACTTCATATCAAAAAGATCTTTGATGAGTTCGATATCTGCCGAAATCTATCAACATATGCTAAATTAAAAGACTTTATACACTGGAAATGGATAATTTCTCCGTTTCCATCAAGTAAATAAAATTTTTACTGTGGTTTACCACTTTGTGAACATAGTTCGATCAACTCGGAAGTATTCATGTATGGTTCACTACTTTAATAACACCAGAAACTTATCAGCTACTTTTTCCTTAAGTAGCAATCTACTATAGGATAAATCATAGGAAACCTGCTTACAGTACCTTAGAGAAAAATAGTCAATAAATTCATGGTGCCATAGTTGTATAATTTTAAACAAGGGACTGCAGCACACTCTTGATTATGACTGGTGGGTTCAGAGTCTGGGCGGGACATTTTTTTTATTTGATTTTATTTGTTTGTTTCACCATGACTTCTGTATTATGTGTTACAAGACCCCAGTATTGGGACAAATTGGCATTTTGAATGTAGCAATATATAGATACTTATCATTGGTTGACTTGTAATGAAAACAATAAGAACCAAAATAGAAAATGAATCTTCTCACTTCGTTTTGGTACCTACACTTTAGTTATATTTACTTTCTTTAATTTGTAAAGTATGTGACATAGTTTCCACATGTTCATTCATTGGACACTTCATTTGTTCACCTACACATTTACTATAATACAGATATGCCTTCCATTTGAAAATCCTAGCTTTCCTGAATGGCTTCCAATTGGAGGCATAATATTTCTTAAATACATCTTTTTTTTTTTTTTTTAGCAACTCCTTAGTACAGAAGAAAATGCCCTTCTTCAATCCAAGAATGAACTGGCTAAAGGAAAGCAGCGAAAGCTCTCTGGTGAATTACTACAGATATTACTGAACGAGGATGAGGTGACTTGTAGTACGTCTGCACCAGCTGTAAGTGTTTGCTGCCCGTTTTAGGGAAGTGGTGTTAAATAGTGTGAAATACAATGAGAAAGATATGATATCAGATATTCCCAAGTCTATCAGTTTTTGACAGTTCAAAAATTTTACCAAAAAATCATATCCAAATTTGTTGGACTCATTCAAAATAGTGCAAATAACCATATGCAAATTAACTGGGTCAACGTTTAAGGTTAGACACAAACCAGTGGAAACGCAATACACTTATCATCAAACAAATTCCCTAAAGAAAAATATTGTAGAAAGAGAATGAAAGATGTTTTACTTTAACATATCATTGGTACTGACAGAGATTTTATAGCTAAGAAATTGTACCATTCTGTACCATATTGTACAACATTGTACAACAGTTTACCACAGAGTATACTACGGTGTACCATATTGTACAACATTGTACAACAGTTTACCACAGAGTATACTACAGTGTACCATATTGTACAACATTGTACAACAGTTTACCACAGAGTATACTACAGTGTACCATATTGTACAACATTGTACAACAGTTTACCACAGAGTATACTACAGTGTACCATATTGTACAACATTGTACAACAGTTTACCACAGAGTATACTACAGTGTACCATATTGTACAACATTGTACAACAGTTTACCACAGAGTATACTACAGTGTACCATATTGTACAACATTGTACTACAGTTTACCACAGAGTATACTACAGTGTACCATATTGTGTAACATTGTACAACAGTTTACCACAGAGTATACTACAGTGTACCATATTGTGTAACATTGTACTACCGTTTACCAAAGAGTATACTACAGTGTACCATATTGTACAACATTGTACTACAGTTTACCACAGAGTATACTACAGTGTACCATATTTTGTAACATTGTACTACCGTTTACCAAAGAGTATACTACAGTGTACCATATTGTACAACATTGTACAACAGTTTACCACAGAGTATACTACAGTGTACCATATTGTACAACATTGTACAACAGTTTACCACAGAGTATACTACAGTGTACCATATTGTACAACATTGTACAACAGTTTACCACAGAGTATACTACAGTGTACCATATTGTACAACATTGTACTACAGTTTACCACAGAGTATACTACAGAGTACCATATTGTACAACATTGTACAACAGTTTACCACAGAGTATACTACAGTGTACCATATTGTACAACATTGTACAACAGTTTACCACAGAGTATACTACAGTGTACCATATTGTACAACATTGTACTACAGTTTACCACAGAGTATACTACAGTGTACCATATTGTGTAACATTGTACAACAGTTTACCACAGAGTATACTACAGTGTACCATATTGTGTAACATTGTACTACCGTTTACCACAGAGTATACTACAGTGTACCATATTGTGTAACATTGTACAACAGTTTACCACAGAGTATACTACAGTGTACCATATTGTGTAACATTGTACTACCGTTTACCAAAGAGTATACTACAGTGTACCATATTGTACAACATTGTACTACAGTTTACCACAGAGTATACTACAGTGTACCATATTTTGTAACATTGTACTACCGTTTACCAAAGAGTATACTACAGTGTACCATATTGTACAACATTGTACTACAGTTTACCAGAGTATACTACAGTGTAACACAGTTTGGGTTCACTCCATGCCAAAAAATGATTGTCATTTTCACCTTAGTTCTATTGCTATATCACAGTGTCATTTTTAGTTTGTGACACAATATCTAATATGTCATAAGGGTTTTATGTAATACATAGTTATGACTCAACAGACATGGAACAATATGTTGGAGAATGTTCAGTCTTCTTAAGTATTTAACTGTTTATTTCAGGAGAGCACTAGTCAAGAAAACGACCTCACATCACGTCATCGTCACCAGTCAGGTCCACAGGAGCCCCAGTCGACGACCATGACCCCGCTCACTCCTCTCACCCCTGTGACCCCCTTGACCCCAATGACCCCACAACATCCACTACCTCCGACAACCCCCACCCAGTCACAGGGAGGTGGGTCTGTACCCAACAGTATCCCACCCACCCAAACACAACACGGGACCTCATACTCACAAGCTCAATCCAGCATGGACCGCCCTACTACAAAGATGGCTTCCATAGGGGGCCAGGTGGGGGCTCCCATGGGGCCAGATAGCGCCAAAAAGATCCCAAATACCTCAGCTCTGTTAGGAGACAAAAACCTTGATAATCTACTCAACTATTTCTGGGAGAAAGGAAATGAGGATAGTGGTAGTGTTACAAGCAATAGTTTAGCCTCAAAGGCTCTGAAACGGAAGGCACCTCCCTCGGATGGTGACGGCCCAGATGGATCTGATTCTGAAATGGTAATGAATAGTATAAAACAACAACAATTGCAGGCCCAGTTACAACTGCAATTACAACAGCAACAACAACAACAACAGCAACAACAACAACAACAACAACAACAACAACAACAGCAACAACCTCAGAGCAGTAGTTTGATTCAGAAAAATGCTCTGTTGGCTCGTTTGTTATCTCGAAAAAATGCTAAAGAGACTAAGATCTTTACACAGCTGACCATTGGTCAGTCAACAAATCCTTGTGAAAATCCTCACAATCGATTACCGAAGAATTTGTCCGATAAAATCATGGTACTGAAACCTTCTGATAAACAAAATATCTCAAAGAAAACAAAAGAGGATGGAAATAATAAGGAGGTGAAGATGGAAGCTTCCTCCTTTTCAACTAATGGTACCAGTAAATCAGAGGACTGTTTGAGTCGGTTAACTAACCCTGCCATGGAGGTTAGTATCAACTCCAATAACTCCTTGGTGGCATCGTCAAGTTTTAACTCATTGCCAACACCATCATCCAACAATACAAGTCAACAGCAGTACCAGGAACAGTATGCCCAGCTTCAACAGTTACTGTCTGGGAGTAACCAAAGCAATCAACAGCCCAGTAACATGGAGATAGACCAGGTGGAAAATCCTGATGCATTACTGGACCAGATTCTTCAGCAAGCTGCTGACTTACAACAAGATATGTCTCAGGGCAATATTCAGAGGTCTACTCCAAACTTTTCGGATGAGTCAATCATATCTCAATTGGAGCAGGTCCTCAGTGATTCTGGCTTCACTGAATTTGACAGCATGCTGGGACTCACTCAGGATGTCGGGAAAGTCCGGACGGATGCTAATGATGACATAGCCATTAAAGCTATACAACAACAGTTGATGAGTGAGGAACCCTCACAGGGGAACAAGAAGGCCCCACAGCCTCCTATGATGCCACAAACTCGTGTCACATCTAGTATGTCCCAGCCCCAAGGCTTCAACCCTGCGGCTTTAGGACAGCAACAGCAACAGCAGCTGGGACAGATGTCCCCTGGTATGGGGATTAACAACCTTCGATTCCAGCTCCAACAGATGGCACCACGAGCCCAGCAACAGCAACAGCAGCAGCAGCAGCAACAACAGCAACAGCAACCCCCTGCACTGTCCCCACAGCAAGGTTTTAACCAGGCAGCACCTTCCAACTTCAGCGCCCAGGGGCCTAGGCTCCCTGGACCCCAAGGTTAGTAGGGGCTAAAGCACAAATAAGTGTGATATAAGTTTGATACAAATATTTGTCATATGTTGTAGTAGGAGTTAGTGTTAGTTCCTGTACTCTTTAGCAGGTTCTTTTTTGTAGCAGAAAAGAATAGGACATTAGTATTTGATGTGAAGTATAAAAACAAAAAATTTGCTCTTAACTCTCATTATATTGTGTAAGATTTGACTTATTTTCAAGGGGTCCTATATGTCAGTATTTTCATGGGTGGAATATATCATGATTACAATTAAGCCATCAAGGATATCAAATTTAACATGTGACTTAAAGTAGTGAGGTAAAAATTTTGTCAGCATTTGGATGTGACAAATGTGGATGGGCTTATGGCCAGATCAATCTGCGACAGATTAAATACAGTATTTTTTATCAGCCATAATGATAATGTTATTGAACCATCGCATGTGTTAAACATGTATACCTTATATCATGCTTTGGTAAAAAAAAAAAAAATAAAGGAAGTTATCACAAAAAATATGCTTGCCTAAACTTATCTTTTATACAAATGATTTTTCTGCTCCGACAGTGCCCCTTGCCAGTGCCTTACCAGGAAATCAACAACAGCAGCAGCAACAGCGACCAGTGTTCAACATGAACCCTAGTTCAACAGCCAGCCAGGTACGACAATCTCTTCTCCACCAACAGAAGCTCAAGCAGATGCGGGAGATTGAAAAGCGGAGAATGGAGAGACAACGCCGCCTTCTTCAGAGTCAATTGAGTCAGCAGTTTAATCAGCACTTTCCTCCGGTGAGTTCAAAGAAAACTTCTGTAACTGGTTTTGATCTCAGGGGACAAAGGCTAAATGGATATTACAGGAAAAAGATATATTGAAAATATTACTGATCGAGAAAAAAAAAAATGCGTCACTGTTTCGTACCCCTGTCAAAAAACTCAGGTTTTTTTCCAGCCCTTGATAAAAGATGGAAAATTTTAAATCTCAAGAAAAAAAACTAATTTTTCAATATCAGAAAGGTCCTTTTGTCTAGTTATTTGGTAATTACTGACACTGAACATCAATAGATCTGGAAAGGTTTGGCCTCATTGTTGAATAAATTCATTACCTGGTAATGATTTCAGATTTTCAGTCAAACAGAAAAAGTAGAGTTTAACAGAAGTAGGTCTGTCCTAATGGAAATTGAATATAAATTTCAGGGATTAGAGAATCAAGTTAATGCCTTTCCTGAAAATCTGGGAGATTTAATGAACAGTGGCAGTGCCCCAAATGTGACTATCCAGGTTTGTATCGCAACATAATGAGTTCTCATGTGTTTAATCAATAATTCTTGATTGATCAAATATTGATTGCTCATTAACAGAAAAAGATGTGTTCATGGTAAAATAAGGTTGACTGACATTTTTCTGTGTTCATAAATTTTGTTTTAAGCAGTAAATGATGAGATTTATGCATAGAATTAATTATTTAATCATTTATTCATTTGATGGTAGAAAATAATGACGGATTTGACACAGGGTTGTGGGGTATTATCATCAAGTAAACCAATGAATCAGTAGACATTTTCTTATATTAGTGCTAATAGTTTAATGGCGGATGCTAACGAACCTTTCACCTGAACAGCTGGGGTTTGATTCACCAATCTCACTTGAAAAAATGTTTGGTCACCAGCTGTGTGACCACGTGAATTATGCCTGGGTACATTAATTTCTTTTCATAATAATTACACAGGCTCTCGTCTGGATTAATGAGGGTGATTAGCATGTTTGTTATGCCTTTCACAATCGTTGCAATGTATTTATTTTTAACAGAGGAATCAGATTCCTGGACCCATGTCGCCCCATTACAGTCCGGCAGGTCTACAACAGATCCTGGGGCCAGGCACGCCCAATAGTCAGATGTCCCAACAGGGGCCACCAACCCCGCAACCCTCAACCCCTCAGTCGATGAACCCTATGATGGGCCCTACACCACCGTCGTCTCAGATGTCCCCCCACTACAATCAGCCCCAGAACCAGTGGGGAGTGACGCGCACCCAACAGGCTGGCAGTATGCAGAGTCCAATGAGCATACCCCAGGTAAGATTGATTTCTTAATAACACTTCTTCATTTCACAATGGATCTTATGTTCCACAAACCTCCACTTTTGTTTTCTGACTAAATTTAAACAAAGCTCCAATATTGAATTTTAATCCAACAATTTGATTCCTCGATAGCTTTGTCATGTTCGGTTGATCCTTCATTTCTGCAAATCTACAAATTATTTTTCCAGTTTACCTCCTTGATAGACTAAGTGCGATAAAGTTGATGAATTAAATATTACCAACATATCAGTACCCATTTCATCACTCTGTATCTTCTGAATGAAAAATCTAATGCAGATATTATGAAACAGTCTTAATTAACATGTTTTTGTAACAAATTTCTTCAAATACACATAGATATTTTAGATAATTTGTTTTACCATACATTGGGTTTATTTTAGTGACGTATATATTTGTTTTCATTTATGTTCAAAAAATTACATTTCATTTCCTGTAAATGGTTATTATTTTTGAAAATTTTATGTATTTGAGGGTGTTGTAAAGTTTTAAAAAAATAGATACTTTTACCTTAAAAAAACCCCACTGCGTTAAAAAGTATATCCCTTTCAAATCAAGCTTTTAGTTAAAACACAAACATTTTCACTGTTGCTTAAAGTTAACTGTGTAATATTAAAAAAATTTCTGTGGATGTTAAACATTCTTCAGGTTTGTCAGGACAACCCCAAGATGTTAGATGTTTTTTACCTTATCATTTCCTTTGTCACTAGGGCTCACAATTCAACATGAATCGACATCGTTCCATGTCTGGAGGCTCCATACCCAATTCAAACCATCAACAGAGTCGTTTCCAGTTTCCTGGGGAAGGTCAATTTAGCGGAAATCAGGGAGGCGCCAACTCTATGGGAATATTTAATCCACAGTCGCAGCAACAACAGATGTTTGGTCAGAACCGAATGATGCAAAGACAGATGAGTTTGCCTCCAGGTATGTCCATGTATCCTCTATCACTTACTCTGCTTATGGGAAGTATTCTATTGCCATATTTACTGTAAAATTATAGACATTCGTAGTTCTGAAATTTCAAGAGTTTTACATGAAAATGCATTTCCGTAGTCACATGATTTCATTGATTAATCTTAACCACTAAATCCACCTGTATGAAAATCAGTGTTGTTTTTATCTGTAAGTCATTTAGTGGGTATTTTAAATCAGAGACTATGAGTAACCACAAAATTAATGTAAAGTCAGTCCTCCCCAAAAATTATTGATTGAAAATTATCCTGCAAAAAGCCAAAACAAGCTGACATATTATCTCAGACACAAAGTAGAGGAGAGCTTAAATAGTCAAGCCTCTCCAGTAATGAGACTGGGAAAAATTGTCCTTTTTTAAAGTGGTGTTCTTTGTATAAAGGTTATTTAATCATGGATTCTAAGGATTTTACTGGAGATAGGTAAAATATTGGCCTTTTGAGACTGTTGCCCTATTATCCAACAAAACAAAATTCAGTTTGAGGTAAGTGTATTAGAAATTAACTGACCCACAAAAGAAATGCACTGTAGTCTTATAGTACTGTATTATCCAGCTGAGAAGGACTGAAAGTTACTGTATGGCTCAGTACTGGACAATGACTGTATGGCTTAGTATTGGACATTAAATTATCATTTACTGGTTATATATAGACTTATTATGGAATGAATATAGGGTAAATTTACCATAGATAATCAGTCTTACGTATCTACATATGGTAATATCTATTTACAGGTCGAGCGTCACCCCGCACACCTCACAGTCCCTTTGGGAGCAGTCCCGACCCTTTACTGATGTCTCCCCATGCTATATCTCCGAACACCTCACATCGACAGCCAACCAATCAGGTCAGCCCACCCTTCAACCAATCGGTGTCCACAGCGAGTTTCAACTCACCCATGTCAAATTTCAATCCAGCCGTATCCAGCATGTCACGGCTAGGTCAGGTGAACAACTCCCAGGGGGCAGCACAGGCATCAACGTCCTTCGATGACTTTGACGTGCAGTTTGGAGACCTAGATACAAGGTGGTGTATTGTGGATAATCTGTTGTCTAGTCTACTTAGAATGACTTATTCATGGTTCATTATATCTACATATGTATATATATACAGGTAAACCTTGTTGTCTGGAAGTGGGCAGGAGAAATGGTAAAAATTTGAAATATCAGAGTATTTAATTTAAGTTTGAACGCTTACTGTGAGGTTTGGCCAGGACCAACAAAACACTTATAGTTATACCTTGTCTTCATGTTATAAGAATTCTAATTGAAGAGGTAAAACTGTAAATAAAAAAAATGTTAGTTTGCAAGCCAGGTGGAAAGGCTGAAATTATTTGTAAATTTGATCTCTCATTTGAGTTCAATAGAAAGCTGACCCAGAGATTTATTTGTGAATTTGATGTTTTTCTTGATTTCAGTAAAAAGCTGGACCTTGGTTTGGGGATGAGTGTCAACTCCACATCACAATATGTAAAACAAGAGTTGCGAAATATATGTGCTGCTCGATCAGAAAAACAAAACCAACAACAACAGCAGCAGCAACAACAACAACATTTACAGGCCATGCAACAACAACAGCAACAACAACAGATGGCACATCAGCAGCAGCCAGATAACTCTAGTTATGAATCCAGTGAAATTCCCCTTGACATATTTGAGCAAAGTAAGCCCAGTTTTTACTTCTTTTACCATTAAATAGGTCCAGATTTGTCTTGTTATTTACCTGTGTTATTTACCTACGAGTCATTGGTGCTCTGAGGTTAATAATTCAATAAATTACCAGACGTAACTCAATCTGTCCGTCTCGGAGTCTTCCATTCCACGTACCACATCACCATGGGCGTACCTGTTTATAATGCTTTTTATTTGTATTTGTTGATTGTGTATCGTGGAATCCTTCTTTGTTACTAAAATCACTTCTCGTATCTAGCTTTAAAAGAAATAAAAGTTATTTCCCTTTGGCAAAAGTTTTCACATTTAATACCAAACCTATTTTGCAATGATGTTTTGCTTTTTCGTGTAGTTGATGAGATGGCAAAGGAACATGGCGTAAATCCTGGACAAAGTCGGGCAAGTCTTACCCTTGGTGATTTCAAAGAGGAAGATATTGTCCAGAAGCAACGTCTGGAGGCCAAAGACCGTTATCAACAGTTCCAGGCCCTCTCTAAACTGGATAAGCCAGAACCAGCAGGTAACCTCAACTGACTTTGTGGTGACAAAGGGATGGAAGTAGTACTTATTTAATACATGAACTTCTTTTTCCGAGAAAGTATGAATAAAATGTCATAGTTTGATAGTTATATAATATCTACTGCAAGTCATATCAGAACAAACAAAATATAAAAAAAAAAAAAAAAAACAGAAGAATAATGATATTTTTGTATGGAAACATGGAATTTTGTTAGTTTTTGAGATTTGGCAAAAACGCATTCAAATATTTTATAAATAACTTGAAATTTGAATGATATTGGTTCACTGCTTATTCAGGTATTTTTGTTCAGGAGAGAGACATTTTTTGTAGAATCTTTATTTAAGAATTGACGACATAGGTTTTTTACTTATTTTCAAATAATATTAAGTTTTTTTTTTGTTTTTTTTTCAATCTTCCGTAATCTTTTAACTTTCCATTAATATGAAACATTTTACCATTGTTCCTTCTGGTAATTGGTTTAACTTTCAGTAGACAAATGAACTTTGTGACTTTGGTTTGGCTATAAACTACCATTGTTGTTTGTTTACAGAAGTAGCTGACCCTGAGGTGAAGGCCACATCTCTATTTAGAGCCCAGCTGTTACAGCCTGGCCAACAACCTGGTACAGCAGGGAGGCAGCAAGGACTCGTGGACAGACTTAAGGTTCAGGTGGTCCAGAAAGAACCAAGGGTGAGATAACTCTTCTGTCAAACTGGGACAAAAAAAATTCTTAATTTCTATACTTGATTAGAAAAAGACATAGATATATCATTTTTTCAAAATATTGTTATTCAATGAACTGTGAACTGCAAAATACAAGGGAAAAGGTAGAAAATTTATAGGAATAAAAAAGAGGAAGATTTTTGGAGTATTCTTCAAATAAAGCATTTCAAAGAATTGGTTATGCTAAAAGAGAATCATGTCAATGTTGATACTTTTATTGCAGACAAACTGCGAGGACATCAAGCCGGCAGAGCACAAGAACAGTCTTCTACAGCAACTTCTTTCCTCGGAATGACGAAACGCCACATTTAGAGTGTGAAAAATTATTATTTTTATGTTGAACTATCGGTAAGGCTGGATTAACACGGGTCATAGACAGATTCCACTTTGTGTGGTAAATATTCCACTCAGTGCTGGTATCTACTCATTGTGAGATTTTCCTTGAACGGACCACCAAGGATAAGATGAGGTTCTATGTTAGACGGATCTCATTCAACGGTGGAGAAATTCAATGCTGTAAAGTTTAGAAGTACAGGGAATCAAATCCACGTTTAATAAAATCATTCTTTATGGATGGTTTTATGCCCTAGAAACTGTTACGGAGGACCACAGAGAGTATAGTGATTGATACTCGCAGTGTGTAGAAACAAGCAGGAAAAAGGCTCCTAGACATTTATAAGGAAGGAGTGGGGTCGCTTACTGATTCTTTCCTGTGAATTATATTGTTCTTGTGATTCAGACACATACAGTTATGGACATGCCCTGAGAGATGCATGAATAGTGTTTTGATAAAGTAAAAAATATTGACAAGTGAGGACAATTACTAGGGTTTAGTGGTTAAAAGTAGACTCACATAGTGTCTCAGGATTTAGACACATAGTGTCAAGTGACTAGATATGGAATCCAGGAAGACACCTAGTGTCTAGGGACAAAATGTGGTTGCCATGGAGACACATAGTGTCTAGTGATTACATATGGTAACCAGAGAGACACATAGTGTCTTGGACAAAATATGGTTGCCATGGAGACACAGTGTTGAGACAGAGTGTCAAGTGACCACAGATATGGAATGAGATGTTAGAGAACAGACATGTTATGTTTGGTGACCACACAGTGTGTGACAGAGTTAAATGTTATCAAAGACATTATGGCTGCCTTACACAACAGTTTGTGGCCGACACATTGGCAATTACAGACAATATGGCTGCCATACATCAGTGGTGGATGTGTTTGGTGTATCAATGTTAAAACCTCCTGCCCCTGTATGTTCAGACTTTTAGCCTGTGGCACGACGGACTTAGACCAGGGGGCGGAGAAACAGCCAGTGGAAACAGAGGAATGACAGCAATTGCTCTGCTACTCTCCCAAGTTGTGGGAACCAGTCAATGTGCTTAAGTCTGTACTGCTAAGTAGGGCTTAAAGCACAAAGTGCCTAATCAAATCAAGATAAACCAGGGATTTTTCTTCTTTTAAACCTAACATATACTTATGAAGTAGGTGTATATTTTTCCTATCTGATGTATCATGTTTTTATCCAACAACTGCGGAGAAGTGTCTGTAGGCCTCTTCATCTGTTACCATGCAGATAGACCAAAGGAACAATTCCTGTGGAAATCTTCAATTCTCCATGACATTCGATGGATCTCACAGGTTGTTCAGATTTTCAATCACCATAAATGTTTGAAAGTTATGGCGGTTTCAACACTTAGAAAATTATATGCGATATCAGAATCATCCACGCCTATCTCAGAAAAACAATTATAATTTTGACAAATACAGAAAAACCAGAAAAATTGTTTCATTAAATAGAAGTCATATGTCACATGTGAAGTAGTTCTGCTAGGCAGCTAAAATGTAGGTCCCCATTCCTGTTATTTTTTAATTTGATTAAGCTAATGCCTTAGAAATGATTGGTAAATTTAAAGTTACAAAAAGTGTGTTTTTGCCTTCTTTGTAAACATGGTGAACCAAAGGTATGTATGTACCATGTACAGATCTCACAACCTTTGACCTTGGTCGGGACTAATTAGCCTCATTATGGCTTTAAGTGATAAGAGGAGTGTGTTTGTTTCGACAAGACCTTTCTTCAGAGTAATCATTGAGTGATGTTTTCCTTAAAAATCAAAACACTGGTTCTTGCTACATTACAACGAAGTTAGTTGACGAAAGTTTGTGTAAACATTTGATGATTCTTGTCGTGACTGACCCCTTCATGTCAGTTTTCTTTTCTGAACTTTGTTGAGTAATACCCATCTGTTTGACGGCTGTGAGGAAAATGCTATGTTGGAGATATCACAAATGTACAGAATCTAAGTTTTATGTCAATAAGATATTTCCTCTGTATGTTATTGACCGAGCTTACAAACTCATCGTCACTCCCAGGGCAAATAAAATGGATGTTGTGTACAAAGCATGATCCAGAGACACAGAGACATTTCTTCAGAAAAAAACCATAATCAAAATAGTGACAGGTGGTACTCACCTCACACTTCATCTTTCCTCAGAGGAATTCATGTCCGGGGGAGAAAGTTTCCGCCATAGTGTATATTTCTATATATATATCATATATAGTATATATATATATATATAAGTATAACATGTCCATATAAATATATATCAAATGTATGTATGTTCATTCATCCATTTGATGTTTTAAAGAAACATGGTGTAAAAAAAATACACAAACTCGTTGTAATGTTCATGAAAAACTCATCCCCTCATTATATTCATGGAATATTACCTTAAGATTGAAACCCTATTTTTTGTTTTCTCCAACAATAACAATATTGCTGTTGTAACTAGGGAGTTATATATACAGTGTATATATATGTATATCAAAATATGTTTGTTTTCTTTGTCCCTTTTTATCTTTATTTGTTATCATAGAGGAGGAATATAAAACATGAAAGCTAACATTGTTGAAACTATTTTTATCTTAGGAACCATGAATAAACTTTATATATACATACATGTCTTAGCCACCTCGAAATGTAGAAATTGTGATCATTGTTTAATGTTTTTACTGACATCTCTTGCCAGCTACGTACAGATTATTTTTTTTAACTTTATTGAGAGTTTTGTCATAGGAAAAATAGAATTCATCATTCTTATTGATTTAATTTCAATTGAAGTGAATATATTAATAAGAAAAGCCATAGATATAATTTTATAGACTTTACAAATTCATTTTGCAATATTTACCAAGAAAAAAAATGTAAAGTTTGGTTTTGGTCATTTGCAACGTACACATTAAAAAAGAAAAATTTTCAGAAACTTCTGATATATACAAAAACATTAATAGGGTCCTGTGTACAAAAATATAAAATTCCAGAGGGTCCTGTATACAAAAATATTAATTTCCATAGGTTCTTGTATATGGAAAATTTTAATTCTATAGGGTCTTGTATACGAAAAAGTATAATTTCTATAGGGTCCTGTGTACAAAAAAGTTTAATTCTAAAGGATCCTGTGTACAAAAAAGTTAAATTCTATAGGGTCCTGTATATGAAAAAGTTTAATTCTATAGGGTCCTGTATACGAAAAAGTTGGAATTCTATAGGGTCCAGTATACGAAAAAGTTTAATTCCATAGGGTCCTGTATACGAAAAAGTTTAATTCTTTAGGGTCCTGTGTACAAAAAAGTTTAATTCTATAGGGTCCTGTATACAAAAAAGTTAAATTCTATAGGGTCCTGTATATGAAAAAGTTAAATTCTATAGGGTCTTGTATACGAAAAAGTTTAATTCTATAGGGTCTTGTATACGAAAAAGTATAATTTCTATAGGGTCCTGTGTACAAAAAAGTTTAATTCTAAAGGATCCTGTGTACAAAAAAGTTAAATTCTATAGGGTCCTGTATATGAAAAAGTTTAATTCTATAGGGTCCTGTATACGAAAAAGTTGGAATTCTATAGGGTCCAGTATACGAAAAAGTTTAATTCTATAGGGTCCTGTATACGAAAAAGTTTAATTCTTTAGGGTCCTGTGTACAAAAAAGTTTAATTCTATAGGGTCCTGTATACAAAAAAGTTAAATTCTATAGGGTCCTGTGTACAAAAAAGTTTAATTCTATAGGGTCCTGTATACAAAAAAGTTAAATTCTATAGGGTCCTGTATATGAAAAAGTTAAATTCTATAGGGTCCTGTATACGAAAAAGTTTAATTCTATAGGGTCTTGTATACGAAAAAGTATAATTTCTATAGGGTCCTGTGTACAAAAAAGTTTAATTCTAAAGGATCCTGTGTACAAAAAAGTTAAATTCTATAGGGTCCTGTATATGAAAAAGTTTAATTCTATAGGGTCCTGTATACGAAAAAGTTGGAATTCTATAGGGTCCAGTATACGAAAAAGTTTAATTCTATAGGGTCCTGTATACGAAAAAGTTTAATTCTTTAGGGTCCTGTGTACAAAAAAGTTTAATTCTATAGGGTCCTGTATACAAAAAAGTTAAATTCTATAGGGTCCTGTATATGAAAAAGTTAAATTCTATAGGGTCATGTATACGAAAAAGTTTAATTCTATAGGGTCCTGTATACAAAAAAGTTAAATTCTATAGGGTCCTGTATATGAAAAAGTTAAATTCTATAGGGTCCTGTATACGAAAAAGTTTAATTCTATAGGGTCCTGTATAGGAAAAAGTTAAATTCTATAGGGTCCTGTGTACAAAAAAGTTGAATTCTATAGGGTCCTGTATACGAAAAAGTTAAATTCTATAGGGTCATGTATATGAAAAAGTTAAATTCTATAGTTGTCCAGTATACGAAAAAGTTTAATTCTATAGGGTCCTGTATACGAAAAAGTTTAATTCTATAGGGTCCTGTATACGAAAAAGTTGAATTCTATAAGGTCATGTATATGAAAAAGGCTAATCCTACAATATCATGTATACGACAAGTTTAATTCTATACGGTCATGTATCAAAGAAATCAAAGTGAAATTGTTTTAGTCTTTGAAAGAAAAAAAAAGAAATTTGCTTAGATCACTTTTTAAGATTGTCAGATTTTATTGTCAGATTTTATTGGGCCCTTAGCAAGAAATATTTAAGGTGCCATAAATTAAGATTCATTGTGCTAAATTTTGGTTCCTAAAAAGTAATGATGAGAACTATGTATGCGGTCACAATGTCTTTATGTTTGCTTAGATGTACAAATTTATTGACTGGGACCTGTTTGTTCATCGCACTGAAAAGATAATGTTGAATTACAGATTTTGAAAAGAAATGTCAAATTCTGTGAGATTTAGCTAAATAAGAATGTTGTATCAAGATACAGACAAAAGAGATCAGATTCTGTAGCTTTATTGAGGTCAATGCTTTAGAGATCTCTGAAAAATAAGTGAAAATTTTAACGGTTATCAGCAAAAATTAACATTGATAAGATTCACCTAGATGGCATTGTTCTCATGACTACGTTTGAAGGCTACATAACATATGAATTTATAGCAAAGAGACAATTAACGACATGT